GATCCCTAGTATCTATTGGCGAAAATATACTTTTGCACCCTTAACTAGCAAGAGGTCGCGACCTAAATCTAAGAGGCAACAAGAAAATTGGCAGCCGTGGCAGACACCTATGGTAGCGCCGAACAGTCTGGAGCTGCAACCCCACCACATGAGTCTGAAGCAGGATGTGACATGGACCCCATCACTAAACGGTCTCTCCAAGTCTCCATGGACACTATGTCTGCTAAATTAATAGCTACCTGGCAAGCTGGTATGTACACCCTCAGGAAGGATATTCAAGACCTTAGGGCTAGAACCTTGCACATGGATGGTTTATAAGTTATAACAAATTTAATACCACTGATAAGGTTTTAGTGATAGCACTTGGTTATTGTTTATATCTTCACTCTTTAATTTGATCAAGCCTTACGATAGGTAATGCTACTGTTACACACCTTCACTCTGTTATCTTTCTCTAAACTGATTGTACCATGTTGACATGTGCAAGTTTGACCTCAGCCACTGAAGAGGACTTATGTCCTGTTTTATAGTTTTGTTCAAGACTCCCTGTTACAAGGGAAAAATAAAAACGTAACCTGGACTACCCCTATACTGACATTCCTAATCTCCTCAGAAGTGATATTTACTACTGTTCCTCTAGATCTGGTATGGTTTGCTGTGAGGAAAACTTTAATGACAAAAATGTAAGCCAATGTGTTTCCACCACCCAGAGAAAATTTTCTCCTCATTGTAGTCTAATTTATTTCACTCTCGCCATCACTTGTTATTCCATTTGTTGTTATGCGATAGATTCTGATGTCTGCACAGCTACACCACCTTCACTTGCCAGAATGAGTTAACAGCTTTGTATTGCTACTCTGACACAGGTTTATTATAGATTTTCAAACCCAGGATAATTCCTAATATGCCATAGATACATTGAGCATCTCAACAACGCATAATCTATACCTATTGTGGAACGTTATTGGCGTTATTGTTCAGTATGTTTAAAATTGGCTAACTCGGAGCATGTTAGTTATTTGAAATAATAAAGTTTGTCTATATCCAATGCTTAGTGTAAATACCCCTAAACATAGCTATGAACTTTCCTGTCTCAGAGCGTTGGTCTTATTTGCTGTTTTCTACGTCTGTAATTCTTACTGCGTAGTAACATATCTATTTTATGAGTGCGTAGTAACTTTTTATTTCAGCTGCATAGTTAAACTGAAACTATAATGAGTACTCCCCCATTACACCTGCAAGCTAGCTGTAGGATAAGATATGTTGAGATAAGATTGATGAATGATATTATTGGAGAATGTTATCTATAGATGGATGCAATACTTGGCACTGGTGTTCCTTACCCCAGTGTAGAAACTTAGACCAAATCCTAAAGTATATCTTAGATGTAGATTTTCTA